TTTTTTTCTCATTAAGTCTATAAAGAATATAAAAAAATTTAAGGAAATTATTAAATTTAGCTTAACTAAAAGAGTAATTAAAAAATTGAAACAAAATTTAAAAAAGACAAATGATCGAAGCAGAGCTCACGAGATCAAATAATTAAAGATTATCACATCCAAGATTACCAAACATTCAATAATTATATAAATATTGGTTGTAAGACCAGATAATATATGTGGTTGAGTGTGTCAAGTGTGCTATAAGACCAAGAAGCATTTGTGGCTGAGGGTATCTTGTAAGTTTTAACACCAGATAATAGGCATAGTTGACTGGGTTGAACGTGCTTTAAGACCAAGTATCTTTGGTTGATTGTGTTGTGTTGGCTTTAAAACCAGGTAGTACATGTGGTTAAGTGTGTCAGATGTGTTGCAAGACTAGGAAGTATCTATGGTTGAATGTATGGTGTGAGCTTTAAGATTAGGTATTATCAATGTTTAATCATGTCATGCGAGCTTTAAGGTCAGGTAGTATCTATGGTTGAGTGTGTTATGCGAGTTTTATGAATAGTTAGTACATGTGATTGAGTGTCGGGTGTGCTATAAGACCAGGAAGTAACTGTGGTTGAGTGAGTCTTGTGGGCTTTAAAACTAGGTAGTATTAGTGGTTGATTTTGTCGTGCAGGCTTTAAGATCAAATAGTATCTGTGGTTAACTGTGTCATGTAAACTTTAAGACAAGCTAATATATGTGGTTAACTGTATCATGTGAGCTTTAAGTTCATGTAGTATTCGTTGTACAACATCCAAAAATTGCAAAAAAGTGGGAAGAAGCATATGAATCATGGTTGATGATAAGTTAAGTTATTCGTTTTTTTTTTCCAACATTGCTCAATATAACATTGTGAAAAGCAAAAACATCAAAACTAACATTACATACAACATGCACAATATCATTACCATATAAAACACATCAACATTTAATTACAAACACAGGCAAGACCAAAAGCCACATAGCCACGAGGAAGAAAAGTAGTGATATAAATGCATACGAGTTGACTTATATGTATGTGAAAAGTCCAAATATAAACCCACCAATGCTCGCACATTTACGAACATACCACACAATTCCTAAGAATATCATATGTAATTTTAGGACCATTTACATACACTCCATCCAATTGTTATGACATTTACATACCAAACACCTAAAACTTATATTTTAAATTCATACTACTTAAATCTTCCATTTCATATCAAAATTAGCTTCATTTTAGCTTACAAAAAAGTGAGAAACACCTTTTCATGTATGGGTGATGTGTCATGTAAGCAAAAATTGAAATTTAGTTCGTGGATGAAATAATAAGTAGGAATTGAGCGGTTTTATGTAAATTCATTCCCATCATAAAATGACAAACACGATACAACTTTCATATCACATGGTCAAGTCGTCATGCACTTGCTTAAGCAATTTCATACAGAAAAGATGGGGCATTTACTTACATACGACTTGATTCTTATGTATATACATATCAAACAACTAATCTTTTTAAAGTTATATAACCCAAAACATTTCATATCATATTAAAAATATCATTATTTCAAATTTGAAAAGTGAAATACACCTTTCAATACATAGGTAAAATGTCGTATATATAAAAATTATAATTTAGATCATATATATGTGCGTGCATAAGAATTACTCACAAAGCATGGATTGCACATGACAAATCCTTTAAGGACATCACCTCCCAAAATCCAGTACAAAACCCAAGAAATTAATTCAAAACAATTACCAAATCATAAATTTTGCTCATATAACATGGATTGAACAGCACAAAATCCTAAAATCATAGTAAGGTAGCATATAAATACAGCCAAAACCAGAGCAACGAACCTGACCTAAAGCAACCCCAATCACAGCCAACCGAACCCCAAGTAGAGGAACCCCAAACATATAACAAAAAAAGTTGCATACAGAGTACACATTTCCTCTGAACTGATATACAACGAACACAACTCTTATGTGTTTGCAAAGCACAAATCTAAACTTTCAGTATTACACAGAGAGCAGTGCAAATACACAACAAACCACAAAAAAATTGTAAATGAAATATCAATATGCAAATTCGAAGTTTATAGCATGGAATGTAAAACTAAAATAGCATGGAATGCCCGCCTGAAACAAACAATTAAACATGCCCCCGCACAGAGAAGACTCAGATTTTGGAGATCCAACGAGAGGAAAGAAAAACAAGAACAAAGCACAAGAAAGCTTCTTCGTGTGACCAAAACAAAAAAGAAACAATGAGATATATACAGATGAATCAAAGGCAGAAAGAAAGAAAAAAAAAGCGGCTCATTGGTATGTCCTCACAAAGAAGATGTGGGAGAAGCGACAAAGAACAAGGGTATTATTGTGGATAAAACGGGGAAATAATAGAAATGTTGAAGGTCGGTGTTATAATTTACCCATCCCGTCCCAGCTCAACTCCGCCATTTACAAATACTAGTTTTGTGAATTTTAAGAAAAGCAGCTAAACTGCAGGCTCTCAAACACATCATTACCTGTTTTACAAAATTAAAAGAGAGTGAAAGGTGATTGTAAAGTTGTGGTGGAGAGCAACTTCTTGAATAGTTACGATAAGAATTATAAATATATATTTATTCTAAAAAATCAGAGAACAAATTTTTATAACCACCACAATTTAACAGGTCAGGTTGAAAAAAGTTGCTTCTCGCTACAGAAATTTTTATAAATTAACAAGAAAACATATACTCGAACAGAGCTGTGATGGCGGCCCGAAACTCAAAGCAAGTAGAAAGTTGTTCTAAATAGACCCTAAGTCTCGTACAATGTTGTGGTTTAAGACATAAATTTTTCTAAATGTGTGTTATGATCTCCAAATCAAAAGAGATTTACTTGAGACAAACATGAACAAACTTTACTAAATCGTGTTTAACTCAATTTGGTTACAAGTAATTCAATAATTAAATAAATAATATTTATTAAAACCTATTTATATTAATATTTTATATTTTATTAAAAAATGCTAAAATTTGTTATTTTTTAAAACTTTAGAGCTAAATTTGAGTTGAATATGAATCACAAACAAGCAAGAAAAAATTGAAACATGTTAAACAAAAACAAACCATTCACAGGTCATTTCATAGGAGTCAATTTCAAACAAAAAAAAATTAAAAAAATTGAAAACAAACAAAGGCTCAACTCACTCAAATTTAACCGTTCACACCCTAGTGATATAACAGGTGTTTTGAAAAGCAAGGCACTTCCAAAAAAAAATTTAAATAAATAAATAACATTCCAATGAATCTAAAATGTAGTTATGCAGGAAAAAAAATTATTAATAGCTGTAAAAAAATCATATTTTAAAAAAATATCATTATGTATTGTAAAAAAAAAAATCAAACATCAAATTTCTAGTCGCTATCAAAACCTACGAAAATGATCGCAAGAAGCATCTCTCATCATAAAAACTATTTTTTTTAAAACAAATGATTTATACTCAAATAAAAATGAGGCAAATATCTCAATCAAATTTAAATTCAAGGAAGAACTCATTGCTGAAAAAGGGCTACAATATCCAAAAATGAGATCATCGATGCAAAATGTTTAAAAGCAATAATGCTACAAAAGTAGTAGTGTACCGTTGCGTATAAGAAGGTCAAAGCTCAAACCTCTTGAGCGATTCTGCTTGGGAGAGAAGATATAGAGATGCAGGCATTATCTAAAGCTGGTTCAAGCCCAAGATCTATCAGTCAGTCTTTCTCCAGCCTTGCTATGTACTGGTCATAGAACTTCCCTGCTTTTTCAAGATCTCCAAGCTCAGTGTAGCAGTCTGCTATTGCTCCATAGGCCTCGGTTATGCCGGAGTTTTCGCCAACCTTGCTGGCTATTTCGAGAACTTTGGAGTGATCTGGCTATTTCGAGACCTTTGGAGTGATATTTTATGGCTTCTTTGTACTTGCCTTGCCTCTGCAGAGATGCCCCTGCAAGACAAAATAATTAGCATGATCATGAATGAGTTTACAAATTCGTCAAATCAGTTGTAACTGAAAACTGAAATTCATAAAATGAAACCAATCAAAATTTTGATAAAATCAAACTGGCTGGACCTAAATAAATTTGGTTTCAACGGTTCACTTGTGGACAAATCGAAATTTAATTGTTAGTTGGAATTGGGTTACCAACAAACAAAAAATTACATATCTTACATATATCATATCGATTTACTTTTATGAATTATTCATTTAATTTTTTATTTTTTGTTTTTTTGGTGTGTTCAATTAAAAGCCGAATATTAAAGTCTTAAGAATCAATAAACAAAATGCATTTTTGAAACCGAATTGAAGCAACCAAATTTCTTCGGTTTGGTTTGATTTTTCCGTTTTTACCAAATAATGCACTTCTAATCGTGGAAAGCTCAGTGCATCAAATATCAGGGAAAGCTCTTTATATTTGGTGCAGTAAATATCTGCCTGTAGGCTCTAGATTGTGTATTCAATTCCAAACTCTATAATGGTTGAAAAAGTTCCAATTTAACTGATTTTTTTTTATTATTGGCATCTTTGTATGAAAGAAGAGATTGAAAGTGCAAAAATACTTGAGAACAGCATCTCCATTTGAATCTAGAAACAGAAAAAATACGATGGAAAAGAAATCTTGAAATATTATATTGTTTTTCCAGAAACTTATATCATATTACTACATTTTAAAGAAAAGAATGATATTATTAGACACTGAATACTACAATAGTGTATGATTTAAATAAGGGGCATTTACATATATACCACATAATTCTTATAAAATTACATATCTAACACCTAAACTATTATTTTTACATTTGTAACACGGTAATAATATCATTTTTAATAATAATTAAGTTATAATAATAATTATAATAACAATAATTACCTGGTTACGACATGTTTTTGCAGGTGTCGTCCGTGTCAAGACCCGGCCAGGGACTTGTAATTAACCAGGACGGAAACGGGCAATCGGATGATGGGAACTAATTTACCTTGTTACTAGTTGTGTGCTTCATTTATAAACATATTTATTCTATCGCTCATCTTTTAATCACTTAATTAATTGAAAAAGCTAGTTTAAAGTAACAATGACCAAAACAAGTCAATAAATACTCATATTCCTAAACTACAACCTACAATAATACAAAAAATAAAATAAAATGCATGTCAATTAAACGTTTAATGAATAAGATTAACATTCATATATTATCAATGAATCTTACTATATCAATAACATATCAATATCGTTTTATATCTGTAAAACCGTGACAAGAGCATCATCTAAGAAAATGTATCAGTTAAGATATTTCAATATCAATATCATTTTTCATTTACGTGCACGGATACCTTAGTGTTCTCCTACTAGTACCTTAAAAGGGTGATTCCATCATAATCAATTATGCACATACAAACATACAATAAAAATATCACTTCTTTAATAATAAAAATTCCATTCTCATTTGCATAGTTATTAATATACTTGTACAAGATTTAATATCTACGATAATTTAAACGAATCTGAGTACATAGGTCATTTCTACAATACGAGCGAAATTCAATAGAACAATAAGTTATCACTATGCAGTGCTATAAAAGTAACAAAAAATGCATTTGAAATAAAATATTAAAATATCAAAAGAATATGAGTGCTCATCTTGATGTTGATTAATTTTGTTATTTGATTTGTCCCGACGTAGACTATTCTAAAATTAGAAGCCTAAATATTGGTGCTCATATTACAAAATTTTAATTAGTTATCATTTTAATTAACTATTAAATTTATACTATTTAAGTAATAAATTTTGATTATTTTACTTTATGAAATCCTAATTAAATTCACTAATTAAATATTTAATATAAACCTAAAATTTTCCTCACTGAAGTTTGAATGGGTCAATCTTCCTCCTTTCTGCTCGCACGCTTCACCTTCATCTTTCCCCTCTAAATCTGAAGTTATACGCCTTGAGTTTAATTCAAATGAGAATAAAAGATAGCAACCATCTGACAATGAAAAGCATCTCTATAAACTCAGCATAAGTAATATATATATATATGAAAAAAACCCAAGGGCTAATATATTAAAGAGAAAAGATATAGATAGGTTGTATGAGTGGGTCTAAAAAATAGACACCCAACCCACACGGTACAACACATACAAAAAAGTCAAAAAGGATACATATAAAAAATAAATAAAACTCAAACACAAGGGCACAGAAAAGGTGAGGGTCATCCCAATTTAGTCATACCCTTGCTTCTAGTTCTAGGAAGGGATCCAGCTAACAAATTGGTAAGGCGCATACCATTATCCGAAGTAACCAAAATATCATCCATAAGATTCCTGAGCTCAAGTAGATATCCACTCTTCTTCTTCCTCTTGTAAGTGTAAACCTGTCATTCCTCCGAAGAATCAGTCTGATGAGATGGTAGAGTTGTAGCAGAAGGAATTAGCAGAAGGAATCCCAACCGTAGTACCCACAATAGGTTCTAGTATATGTGAAGTATTAGTTAACTCTACACCGGCTCTACTCCGGATACTTCCTGAAGATATGAGCTACGAGGTTCTCCTGATTATCAGTCTGAACCCTAACATTTGCAGATAATAGTCTTTCAGTATTGCTTTCTATGGGGTTTGAAGGTGCCAATGTCACATCAATCGCAGAAGATGGGGGGGGGGTGGGGGGGGGATGGGGCGGTCCATTGGCAACGGACACCTCCTGTTCGGTAGTATCTTCCCCAAGTGGAACTAAAATGTCCAGAGCAGTGGGGTTAGCCCCACCCTTATTCACTTGAACCTTGGATTTCAAATTAGGATGGAACTTGTGGCATTTATTAAGGGTATGCCCAAACATCAGACAGTGAGTACAATATGAAGGTCTGTATAAAAACCTTATCATTTCTCTCGGTCAAACCTTATCCATGAGAAAACTTCGTCTTCCTCCACCCCCCAACTCATTCCGTCTTCTCCTCCTCTGCACGATGTTTTCTTCAATGATTGGCACGATCAAAGCCCTTACCTGAAGACACACAACTCGCTCCTTCCTCCTCTGTGTGTGATACTCGGCTTGTCTCCTTCGCACGGGGCTCTTTCCTTCCCTTTGAGCGGTCGCACGACACCAACACTAACTTCTCCTTAGTTGCTCGAAACTAATGCCGATAACTCTTGCCTACCTTCTACTCGACAACGACCCCTCTTGCACCTGATCATGATGTCTCTTCTCTCGTCTCTACATGTAAGTAAATCTCGCCTTGTCGCATTATTTTTATAGAACAAACTCAACTTCTAGGCTCTGCCCCCTCACTTCCTCTCCGCTTTGTTCGGTTTCCATGATTCCTCGTTTATTGTTCTCCCCTTTTTGATTCATCTCAGGTAGGAGAGTTGATTCCTCTCCAGCTAAATGAAACGAAACCTTACCAATTTCCCCACTTAAAAAAATTTCGTCCTCGAAATTCATGATCAAACCTCAAGTTATTTTTCATTAAGTAGGTAGATATTAGCTATCCATGAAACTAGGAATCATTTACTAAGATGAAAAAGTAAGCATTATAAAGATAAAGACTCGATACAAGACGACTCAATTATATTTCGGATAAAAAAGTTATTGAAACAAGAAAGTATGTTAGGAAAATACCCTTATATAAGAAAATGCTAAACTCATCAGGTTTAATCAACATCAGCAGCAGTAGGTTCATTAGGCTCACTATTAGTAAGAGAATATATCCAAGGTCGAACAAGTTATCTTGGTTGACCTTGGGTAGGAGCTGAAGCTATAGACTCAATTATTTTCTGCTCACTTGCAACCTTCTGTGAAGGAGCTCCACATGATTTATGATCTTCTGCACTCTTTTGGCCAAGAGATGGATAATACTGTGCTATATGATAAGGTTGACGACACCAATAATAAGTGTTAGAGCCTCTCAAGCATTTACCTTTATGTTGTCGTCTGCATTTAGCACAAGTGACTACATCACCTTAAGTCGTACCTTTGCTAACCCCACCCAAATTATTCTTGAACTTCTTCCCATTAGATTACTCTGATTCATCCACGTGTCCTCCTTCATCAATACTCTTCCTTATGTGTGCCTCCTTATGCTTTTGAGTAAACTGATAGTTGATCTCCACTCTTTTAGCTTGTTCCACTAATATCAACTATTCATCGATCGTCAGAGGCACCAATAGTTATCCGATCAAATCCTTTAATCCTGAAAGAAATTTATAACATTTTTCTTCTGCAGTAGCAATCAACTGTGATGTATACCTTATCAGCGCAGTGAATTCTAATTCGTGCTTTGTGACTCTCTTCAATCCTGACCTCAGCTTGATGAGCATGTCCTTCATTTGTCTTCAAACGAATAGAAATATAAACCACTCTTTGAATAACTCTACGAATTTCTCTCAACTAACCATCAAGTGTTGCCCACACCACTACCTTTCAACTTCTTCATCCAACACAAAAGTATCTAACGACACTCTCCTTTCATCCGGACAAACCATACTATCTAATATCTTCTCTATCATCATTAGTCAATTATTGCTTCAATTGAGTTATCAGTTCCATTGAACAAAGATGGACATAAATTTTGAAATATCTTCATGTGCTTAACCATGGTGAGTGTGCACTTTCGTTGAGTTATAATATGAACTCCTAAGTCAGACGAGTCATCGTCTCCATCATGTGTGTCAGAACATCCAAGCTCATGTTTATAGTAGGTTGTACTTCAACGTTTTCTAGCAGATTCTCTTCTTCTATAATTTTGGGTGTATCATTATGTATGAATAGATACAACTTTTAATTTAACTTATTTTTAATTTTTTTATTATTAAAAAGATTTTATAATTACTCTATTGGCTCTTTCATCAAAATTTCATTAATTAATCATAAAACTTGCACTCTGATATCAGTTTTGTCACAGTCCGACCTGGGGCTTGCAATTAACCAAGGTGGGAACAAACGGTCGGATGA